TCAGCATCTTAGCTGTGGAGGGCAGTGTCACTGGCCCTCATATGTGGGATCCGAACCGGGGCCCTCTGGCGTCCCAAGCCAGCTCTTAACCATCACGCCACTCGGCCAGCCCTTATTGGTCTTTTTAAAGAACTGGGTTTGGGGTTTGTTAATCACATTTACTGTTGTTTTGTGTGTTTTCTTTATAATTCTTTTCTGCTTTTATCATTATTATTCCTTTATTCTAATTTTCCTTAGGTTTCCTTTATCTTTTGTGTGTTGGGGTTTCTTAGCATCTTCAGAGGATGCTCTGCTCAATAATTGTCTATTCATCTTGTCATACGTGCATTTAAAGGCTAAATGTCCCTGCGACGACTGCTCTGGCTGTGAGCCATACTTCTTGTTTGGTGCACTCATGGTTATTCATCTATAAAGGGTCTGTAATCCAACTCAGACTCCCCATTCAGCCCAAGTGACACTTACAACCGCCCCATTTGCTAGGTGTGCCTTCTGCGCGAGTCAAGTTCGAGCCACTCCAAATACCTGCGTTTCTCCAAACGCTTCTGACGTTGACCTGCTGGCCCCTCTATCTGGAATGTCCCTCTCTACCTGGCCTCCCCTCACGCCCCAAGGGCTGCAGGAAGGAGTCTAAAGAAACCCTGGCCTCGGCCTCCAGAAGCCCATCCACCTCTTCCATGTTCCCCGAGGAGTCTAGCTTGTCCGGGATCCATCTGTGTAGCTCTTTGCTTGTCTCTTCTGCAGGACTGTAAGCTCCTTGAGAACTAAAATCTAGTCACTCTCATACTCTCAGACGGAGCACAAACCAGGTTCTCAAACATGAAATCAAACAGTGACCCAAACCCCCTTTAACCTCTGTGTTTGGTCACTGATGCCAACATTCTGAGTATTAATTAGGACACACTTAATTTCTGTAACCAATACACCAAAACAGGACATGGGTCTACCTAGTGGAACTGTGCGAGTTGCTCATGAAACAGTCAGGTGTGAGCAGCCCGGAGCTTCTCCACACAGTGACCCAGGAACCCAGGCATCTTAGTTCACGCTCCGCTGCCACACACAGCCTCGCCGTCACCTGTGCACAGCCCACAGGAAGACAAGGACAAGCAGAAGAGCAGCTCTCTTCTTAAAGGCCCGGCCTGGAAACGTGTACATGCTTCTGCTCACGTCCCACGGATACAGCTCATGGAAAGGAGGCTGTGGTTACCGTGAGCCCCGTGTGCTCTGCTGTTTCCCGCCTCATCTCCCCTGTGCCTCTGTCCCTGACTTACGGGTCACACTGTGTGACACCCTCCCACCACCAGGCCCTGGCTGGCACCTGCACAAGGGTGCAGCCATCTCCCGTCCCTTGTGCTGTAAGCAAACCTTGCAACCCCGTGCTGGTCTCCAGGAGCCCTTGCCCCTGTGCAGGGAGCGCCCACACCGGTGTCCAGCTGGTGCCGACGGCTAGCAGGCCAGTGGTGGGGGGAGACTGGCCCTCTGGCGTCCCTGGCCCCAGACCCAATTTCTTTCCCTCTAGAATATGGAGTCTGGCGATTTGACCCATTTAACTTTGAACCTCCACCTTTCAGAGTCTGGGCCTCGGAGCCTCTGCACATAAGTAGCAGATAAGACCCAAATTTTTTTTTAAACTTGATTTTTAAATACAACTCCATCGATACACATTCATGGCAGAAAAGTGTAGAAAATACAGATAAGCAAAAAGGAAAATGAAATCACTCATATTCCCAGCATCGGAGCAATTCCTGTTACTGTTTAGCTATATTTCCTCCCTTATGCATATTATATATAAGACAAAACTGCATCATCTTATATTTTACAACTGGTTTTCTGTCTGTGCTGGTCATCTATTGCTGTGTAAAAAATTACCTCAGCAGTTAGTGGCTTGAGATAACCAACCTTCATTATCTCACAGTTTCTGTGGGTCAGGGAACAGGAGAGGCACAGCTGGGCTCAGGCCTAGCTCCCCTGGGCCTCAGCACTACTGGTGCTGGTTGGAGATGCCCATTGGCAGGAGGCCTCCGTGCTTCTTGCTGGATCAGAGTGTCCTCACAGCATGGCAGCGGCTTCCCCCAGAGTAAAGAACCCAAGAAAGAATGAGGCAGAAGCCTCAAAAGTCACACTCCATCATTTCAGCAGGGGCGGGAACCAGGCGGGGCCAAATACAGAGGTGGGGCTCACGGGGCCTCTTGGAAGGTACACACCACGCTCCGTACACAGTATGTCATGGGCCTGCCACGTGTCCAGTTGCAGCCTGGCTCCTGTGCTCCTGGGCCCTTGGGTGGCTATGTACACACAGGGTGACCCTAGGCCTGTGTGAAAAGGATCCTCTCTCCACCAACCCCAGGCCTGCGGTAAGCATCCTGGGAGAGCCAGGGTAGGGGAGCCCCTGAGAACCACAGTCACTGGGCAGGCCGGCTCTCCCGCCCGCCAAGGCCAGGCCACCAGCAGCCTGTCAGGTGGCGGTAGGTGTGGCGTTGCCTGGAGGCTGGGGGGTTACTCAGGCAGGAGACACCCCCCCCCCACCCCATGCTTGCCTGCAGCATGAGCTCTGAGGATGTGCCCTATGACCTCCTGGTGGGCAGGCGGGGCTACAGCACCAGACAGGGACATGGGAACTGGCTCTATCTGTGCTTTGTTCTCCCAAGGCCTTATTTGAGGTCCCAGGAGGCCTCTTGGGGTGCTCAGGCAAGTCCTTTAAGCCTGGAGGCTTGAGGGGACCCAGTAGGTGGGAGCACCCTCCTTTCCATGTTTCATGCTGACAAAGGTGGCATCTGCAGCCCAGAGGCCCCTGAAGAAGGGGCTTGAGCCCAGGGAGGACACTCCCCAGGGCGAGAGGTCCGGTCAGCCTGTGGATGCCTGCAGCCAGGGAACCTTCCAGCACACTTCCCCAACCCGTGCCTCCTGGGAACAGGGACTTGCACATGTGTGTGAGTGCAGAGAAGTGGAGGGCATCCCACCGTCCTGTGGCGTGGACAGTGGGGGGACCTTGAGTGCCTGGCTTGAGGGCACATGACAGGGTCTCCCCCGAAGGACCCTCACTGCCCAGGGACAGGATCCCCCACCCCACACACCCTGCCCAAAGCGGGCAGCCTCCCACAGCCCCAGCAAGAATGCAGACCTATTGTTACAGAAATCCCGTCAGAAACCCAGATTTTTCTGTACTAGTGTCTCTGTGTAAGTGTCAGCAGCAAACTTAAGTGCTGAGACTCTCGTACAGGACCAGTCAGACCCACAGGCAGCTACAACCTTGTTCACCCAGCGAGTGGAACCACATCCTAGTGAAGGTCCCCTCTGCCACTGCCCTCATGCTCAGACATCCTCAGGAGGCTCTGTCCTGTGATGACCTAGAGGCTGTGTCCCACAGTGTCCTGGCATCAGCGTCAAGGCCGGCTAGTGGCCATGGGGTATCCCTGAGTCTGCACTGTGCCAACTCATGTGCTTATGCAACTCTGCTGAACAGATTCTTAGGAGAGAAACTGCTAGATTAAAATTAAATGTCGACAGCACTCCAGGTTGCCCTCTGACCAGGTGGCTGGACTGCATGTGGTCTCTAGGTCCCACAGAGGGGACTTTCAGGCCTTCACCTACAGTCGGTGGCCTTGCCACATAGCGTGAAGCCTTTGGCCCAGGGTCCATGATGAGTCCAAGCACATGGCCACAGATGGGCTTCCACGACAGCAGGGCCTGTGGGCTGGGCCTCTGCAGAACCTGCCTCGTGTTTGTTTAGAGTCCATGGGTGGTGTCATCAGTCTCTGTGAATGTTTCTGTCTCGGGGACATGCCACTCAGGGACCTCTGACAACAGCCCTCATGCATGTGGCTTAGGGTATGACTTCCAGAGCCTGTCCTCCGTGAGAAGACAGGCAGGCGTGCTCACGTGCAGGGGTGTGACGCATGCAGCTCGGTAGAGCACTCAGCTCAGTGCCTGGCATGTCGTCCGTGTGAAAGTGTGTGACAAGGACAGAGGACGCAGCATGCTGTGCGTGGGCCTGTGGACAGCTGGCTGTCCAGAGCTGCACACGGCGCCTGCTCAGCACACACTTCTGTTTGCTTCTGTGCCTTTTGTCATAGAATGCCAGCCCCACCCCTTTGTGACCTTCCCTGGGTTTATATATATATATTTTTTAATTTAAAGATTTTTATTGGGGAATTGGGGGGATGGAAACAGCACTGGGGAATTGGGGGAAGGGGAACAGACAAGTTGCTGTCGTTTTGTTCTTCAGTCTAGTTGTGGAGGACGTTGCTTCACTGGCCCAAGTTGGCACCATCATTGCCCTCTTCCCGGGCCAGGCAGATCAGTCGCCGGCTTCTGGACGGCTGTTCACTGCGGCTGCTGGCCACTCACACTGGCTGCTGGCTATACACACGGTAGTCCATGGCAACCCACTGCCACAGGGGCTGCAGCCTACGCCGTCGCCGGTGACTCCCAGCAGCCCAGCTCCAGGTTGAGCTGTAGTTCAGCATCTTAGCTGTGGAGGGCAGTGTCACTGGCCCTCATATGTGGGATCCGAACTGGGGCCCTCTGGCGTCCCAAGCCAGCTCTTAACCATCGCGCCACTCGGCCGGCCCCTCCTGGATTTATCTTTTAAGTGGTGTGGCCTCCAAAAGAGATGAGTTTCCTAAGTTAGGATCTGTATCCATTAGGAATGCTTTGGGCTGCAGGACACCGAAAACCCTAACTGTGGCTTCCGTAATTAGTGTGTGTGCCCATAGCCAGCACATGGGGGTCAGTGGCCCAGGGCTGGCTCAGCCCTCGGTGATGTCATCAGGGCTGGGCTCCTCGTGCCCCTTCTCTGCCTTCCATAGTTGGCTGACAGCGCTTCCCTTCAGCTTTGACTCCTCATGCTTGAGGACAGCTGCTGCAGTGCCGGCCATCACACCTGCACACAGCTGTGAACAAACTTAAAGGGGCACTGACCTTCCCAGAAGGCCCTCTCCTGCTAAAAGGGGGCTTCCCTTCACCTGTCATTGGCCAGAACTGGGCCACATTTCCAACTCTAAACCAAATCACCTTCGAAAGGGGGAAGGACAGCTGTGCCTGGCTTAGTCCAATCACTGGCGTTCCCCGGGCCTGGAGAGGGGCTGCCTTCCTTTAATGTGCTAACCCCTCCCCAGCAAAGTGGCTGTGTTCCCCCTGGCTGGATTCAGAGGTGTCCGCCCTGAGCCCACATGGAAGACTGAAGCCAGGGTGTAGTATTTGTGACAAGTAGACCCACCATTTTTATCAGAGTAGCTTTGCCTTCCTTTTTGGTCCAAATATGCAGTGAACCAAAGTGGCCTTCTCTGCAGGAACTTGCACTACTGTGCAAGGGGAACGGGGAGCCACTCGCAGAGTCACTGCAAGGTCCCGCTCACTGCGGGGACAACCTGGAACAGGAGCTGTGCTCTCGAGGGGCGAGCAGCCGTTCCACCAGAAGGTTCCAGGGGAGGCCACACCCAGGCCAACCGGACTCCCAGGAAAGATGGCGTTGGTGTGCACAGGTCCCGGCAGGACAAGGACCCCCCGCGGCCTCAGAGCCTTGCACACTACTGACCGCGGCTGCGACCCAGCCGTCGCCTCTGACGGGCGCCGCCTTGACTGTCCCCGAGCACTTGGCAGCGATCCTGGAGGTGGAATGGCCGGATCTCGCCGTCCACAGGGATGCCGGCTGCCTTCGCCCTGCAGACAGGCCGTGCAGTCCCCTGGCTAGCGCCTTCTCCTCACCACCTCCTCACCGGGAGCCCACGTCAGCCCTGGGCCCCTCGCCCTTCCCCGGCCCGGGCGCACTGGTGTGGGGCCGCTCTGGGAACCCTGCTGCTCGAATTTCTCAGCTGGTTTCAGCTGGTGGTTTGACACAATGTGTCGCCAGGGTCACCGGGCAAAGGACTGGCTCGGTGTCAGTGCCGCTCGCCCGGTGACGCTGCTCCCCCCCCCCCCCCCCCCCGCGCAGGCGGAGCAGATCCTGGCGGAGTTCCGGCTGCAGGACGAGGACTTGAAGAAGGTGATGCGGCGGATGCAGACGGAGATGGACCGGGGCCTGAGGCTGGAGACGCACGAGGAGGCCAGTGTGAAGATGCTGCCCACCTACGTGCGCTCCACCCCCGAAGGCTCAGGTGCCGCGCCGGGCAGCTCCTCCAGGGGGCGCTGTCCCCACCAGCTCCGCTCGGGTCCGGGAAGCGGGCGGATGGGTTGGTTCTCTCCCAGTTGCCCAGCCCTGGCCCCTGCAGGTTCCCCCTGGCCTCAGAAATGTGGCTGTTCCCATCTCACAATGAGAACGTGGCTCCGTGGTCCCTCCCCACACGCCCTGCCCCCGCCCTCGCCCCACACCCAGTCCTGAGTCTGGGCCATTTCACTAGTTTCCAGTTGGGCCCTGAGCTTGGGGTGACTCCAGTCCGTGGCAGTCGGTTCACCTATGGCCCCTTCCGCGGGCGGCGTCTGGCATCGAAGCCCCTTGTCCAGCTCCCGTCCCCCATGCCTTCCCCTCCTCCACTCCCTGTGGGCGGTGCCCCGGAGGCTGACACACTTCTCCCTGTGGCTGCAGAAGTCGGGGACTTCCTCTCCCTGGACCTGGGCGGCACCAACTTCAGGGTGATGCTGGTGAAGGTGGGCGAGGGCGAGGCTGGGCAGTGGAACGTGAAAACCAAGCACCAGATGTATTCCATCCCTGAAGATGCCATGACAGGCACCGCTGAGATGGTGAGCAGCTCAAAGCCACCCAGGGTCTCAGAGCTCAGCCAGTCCAGGGCGGCGGGGCCCACCTGTCCACAGGAGTTGGGGGAGCTGTGGGCAGGAGGGTCACGCAGCCTCAGAGGGCCCAGGGAGGCAGCTGAGAGGCCTGGGTGACTGCAGTTATAATGTCTGTCTGGCAGCAAGGCCACCCTGACTCCAGGGAGGACTCAGGAGCGGGTACAGAGCTAGAGTGGACCCTGGAGGGACATGCTGAGGCCAGTACCCAGACAGGCAGGGCTTCAAGGCAGCAGGGATGGTGTGGTGCCTCACCAGTCAATCCACAGGGCACTCAGCAATGCCCACTTCTGTGACAGGCCCACGTGAGTCTCAGTAGGGCTGGTCCTCAGTGGAGGCAGGGGTGGGTGGCCAAGACCCTGGGAGGCAGCAGAGGACAGTGGGTACTGGAGACAGGAGTCACAGTTATGGCCAGGGAGGTGTGTCTGTCCAAAGCCTGAGGCCAGACATCACTGTGACAGAGCACCACTGGGATGGGGACCAAGCCAGTCCTGGTGCTACCCTGTCTGGGGCTGTCATCAGCAGGACACGCAGCAGAGTCAGGAGCGGGAGCTGAGTGCAGGCCCTGGGGGTGGGGGTGGCCGCCGGCTCACCGCTGTGGCCCATGGCCCTTCCAGCTCTTCGACTATGTGTCCGAGTGCATCTCCGACTTCCTGGACAAGCATCACATGAAGCACAAGAAGCTGCCCTTGGGCTTCACCTTCTCCTTCCCCGTGAGGCACGAAGACATCGATAAGGTGGGGCTGGGCAGGGGTGGGCAGACGGGTAGGCGTGCACCCCAGAGAAGCCCCAGCCGCCCCACTTGGGAAAGAGCCTTGGATTGAAACTGTGGCTGTCACTTGCCTTCTGTGAGCCTGTGGGAATAATGTCAGCTGGCTCTTACTACTTGCCTGGGGCCCCCCATAACCCTGGGGGGTTGCACTATTATTCCCCGTTACAGGTTAGGACACCACAGTCGGCAACTTGCCCGCAATGGGAAGCAGTGGCACTATGGCTCCCGCACGCTTGCCAGTCATCGCTGTGCTATGCCACCATGGTGGGGGCTGAGGCGGCACTCTGCCTTCCAGCTGGCAAGCCAGCCGGGCACAGCTACACGCACATGCACGGCAGCTATACATAGACACACAAGTCAGTTATGTACACATCTTAGTCGTACATACATGCACGCATCAGTTACACATACATGTGTGACATGAGACCTCTGGATCAGAGGAAGCAGCTCAGGACTCAGCACAGCAGCAGCACATCATGCTGGCTTTTCCAGCCCTGTCCCCACAGTGCACCGAGTGCCACTGGGTGCTGTCACCTGCAGTAGGTGCGCTGCAGGAGACATCCCATGAGGCTGCCCCCTCTGGACTGCATCCTGACATTGGAACGTCATCTCTGGGCTCTACCAGGCAAACGTCCTCAAGGTGGCTGGGGCAGACCTGTGTCCAATACCTGTCAGAGCTGTGAGTTCAGTTAGCTCCCCCCCACCGCCCCCCACTGTCCCCTCAGGGCATTCTTCTCAACTGGACCAAGGGTTTCAAGGCCTCCGGAGCAGAAGGCAACAACATCGTGGGGCTTCTACGAGATGCCATCAAGCGCAGAGGGGTGAGTGGCGCCTGCCCCAGGCTGCGCTGGCCCCCCTCAGGCCAGGATGCCAGGGAGGGCCTTCTGGGTGTCCCCCCACGGAGGGGTCTTGGCTCGTGTCTCGGGGCTGGACCAGCCCAGAGCAGGCTGATGAGACTCCCGGCCCCATCAGCGTAGCCTCTGTGCCTCTTGGCAGGACTTTGAGATGGATGTGGTGGCGATGGTGAATGACACCGTGGCCACGATGATCTCCTGCTACTACGAAGACCGCCGGTGCGAGGTTGGCATGATTGTGGGTAAGGACGCAAGGCCCCTGGTGCAGAGCAGGCCATGTGGGGTCTCTGCCCGAGGAGTGAGGCCACAATGTGAGCCTTGGAAGGCCGTCAGAGCCGGGCCTGTGCACCAGGCACTTGCCCCAGAGGTCCTGGGGCCCGGGCGGTCCAGGGGAGCTGCCGGAGTGCCCTGTATGCACAAGCTCTTTACTGGAAGGAAGCGTTTACACGCCTGCTAGTCCCTGCATCAGATGGCACAGCAGCTGTACGCTCCCCACCTCTGTCCCATCAAGATGTAATTAGCAGACCTCATCTGCTAAATTGACCAAGCTGGACAGGTATGTCCAAGTGGAAGAGGATAAGCAAAAGTAGCGTTACCTCTTCCTGGATGCCCCTACCAAGCACAGGGATGGCAACTACCTGGCAAGGAGGTGCGCTGGCCCTAGGGGCCTTTCCATGCGCACCCAGGAGCCATCACATCGGAGGGCAGTCCGCTGAGCACAGGCGCGTGTGTTGTCTGCTTACCCAGGCAGTCATGTGCCTCCATGGACCCTTCAGAGCCAGCCCTGGGCGTCGTCTGTCTGTGTTCTTAGCCGTCTCCAACTGTGTGGTGTGCACCAAGCGGCAGCCACACCTCCCGTTGTCTCTGCTTGTTTACTCCCATTCATTCTCACCTTTCAGAAGCCCAGCTGTCTTATAGTCCGTCACCCACGCAGGACTTCAGGGCCCTGGCGTGCTCCCCTCACTCTCTCCTCCAGAGCTCAGGGCCACCGACTTAGGGTAGCTCCCTGAGATGCCCCGACCCTCGGGGACACCCCTCCTGGAGCAGAGATGACAGAGGGCAGCCTGTGGTGACACCTGCCCCTCATTCCCTCTTGGTTACTCAGCTCAGAGCTTAAAAAATATGTTTATGATAATTACCAAGATCTAAAAATTGGGAGAATTCACATCAAAGTCTGGATTTCTGTTTCTTGCCACAGAAAGTTGGAATGCCTGGCACCACTGGTCTCCGATCCTGCCAGGAAGCCCCACTGGCCAGCTCTGAGCTGCTGTCCCTGATGGCTTTAGGGGCGTGCAGCCAAGCAGTCACACTCAGGGTGGTGCCCTGTTGTCAGCGTTTCGGAACGCTTAATAATTTATGAACATGTGTACATGTTCGGCACCCCACACATTCCCTGGCCAGTCCCACTTGCAGTCGTGCATGTGCTGCTCCCAGGGCACATACTACGCCTTACTTATGTCAGGCTGCCCCTCAAAAACAGGGCCCCGGACAGAGAAGCTCAAACACATGCATAGAAAAGTGCCAGAAAATTAGGGTGGGGCAGAGACAAAATCATAACATTTCCACACCCATCTCTAGATGGCAAAGTAGTCGTTTCCCTAAGTCCCCCCAACCACTCGATAATGGGAGTAGGAGGTGTTGCCAACCCCTCTTGGGGAGGTGGGTGCAAACCAGGTCTGGGCACTCGGCAGAGCCTTCCCACAGTGCTGAGGGTGAAGGGCTGAAGGAAGTGGGGCCTCAGGGCCGCAGGGGCTCCTGCAAGTCGTCCGCAGTGGGCCTGATGCTGTGTCCAACAGGCACTGGCTGTAACGCCTGCTACATGGAGGAGATGCACAACGTGGAGCTGGTGGAAGGGGACGAGGGCCGCATGTGCGTCAACACGGAGTGGGGTGCCTTCGGGGACGCCGGTGAGCTGGACGAGTTTCTGCTGGAGTACGACCGAATGGTGGACGAGAGCTCGCTGAACCCTGGCCAGCAGCTGTAAGGACCCCTGGCACATCCTGCTGGCGCAGACGGGGCCGGCCATGCGGATAATGGGCTTGTTTCTAAACGGGTCTGGGGAAAAGCAAGCTGATGGTCCCTTGTACGCTGGCTGTCTCCTCCTCCAGCTCACGCACGTGTTGCGCCCCTCTGAACAGCGAACAGTCAGATGTGGGCATCAGTCCTCAGAGAGGGTCTGAGATAGATAAGGCAGGACCTCCCATTCCTATAGGCACAGGAGGGCCCCAAGCTGCCCCTAGCCAGTTATCTGGGTTTAACCCGAAGTTCCGACGTGCCCACGTTCCCACAATGGTTATAGCAGTTTGTGGGATGCTGCGGGTTCGCAGGACACAGCTTGAGAACCAGCCCTTTCAGAGCTCCTGGGGGAATCGTGGCTGTCCCCTACCAGCTCCGCTGCACCCAGCTACTGTCACATCAGCTTTGTCTCTGGCTCTCAGAATCCTCTGCTGGGTGGGTAGTAACGTGCTACAAGATGAAACGCGAAGTCTCACAGCAGGCACCAGCGTGCCAGGGCCGGCATTCCAGGGTGCAGGGCCCAGGTGCCCCAGACTGGTCAGCAGCCCCTCTGAGCCTTAAGTTCCCCAACTGTGACTGGGCAATGAGAACAGCACCCCATCACATAGCTGTGGGAGGACCCAAGTGGCCTCAGCGCAGTACCCATCACAGGGAAGTCTCAGAGGGACTGGACCGAGGCCCCGAGTCCAGCCGGGCGCTGTAACGCCCCAGGGTTGGCAAGGGGTGGCCGAGACGGGGGCGGCGATGAGGCCCTGGCCTCCGCCCGCGCCAGGGGACGTCCCTGCGGGGATGACTCGGCCGCCTTTTGTCCAGGTACGAGAAGCTCATCGGCGGCAAGTACATGGGCGAACTGGTGCGGCTCGTGCTGCTGAAGCTGGTGGACGAGAACCTGCTCTTCCACGGGGAGGCCTCGGAGCAGCTGCGCACGCGCGGCGCCTTCGAGACACGCTTCGTCTCGCAGGTGGAGAGGTGCGCGGGGGCGCGGGGGACAGGGTTGGTCTCTGGTCCCCAGAGGTGCGTCCCCTCCGTGGCTCCCCCGCCCCCGCGGTGGACATCGGCTCACTTCATCCATGCAAAAGCCCGGAGGCGCGACGGTGTCGTCCGCGGTAGTGCGGAGGCCCTGGGCGTGGAGGAGGCATGCCCGGGGTCTGCCGGCCTCTGGCGGAGGCCGGTCCGCTCCTCCCAGCCCAGGGCCCGAGCCCCGGGCGCTCTGCGTGGGTGAGGTGGGCAGGTGCTGGCCGAGGCGCGACCCTCCAGCGACGCCCACCGTCCTGCCCCTGCCCCGCAGTGACTCGGGCGACCGCAAGCAGATCTACAACATCCTGAGCACGCTGGGGCTGAGGCCCTCGGCCACCGACTGCGACATCGTGCGCCGCGCCTGCGAGAGCGTGTCCACGCGCGCCGCGCACATGTGCGCCGCGGGGCTGGCGGGCGTCATCAACCGCATGCGGGAGAGCCGCAGTGAGGACGTGATGCGCATCACGGTGGGCGTGGACGGCTCGGTGTACAAGCTGCACCCCAGGTGAGCGGGGGCGCCGCCGGGGGCCAGCCCCGCTGAGGCCTGAGGGCAGCGCCCGGGCCTCGAGGGGACGCGGACTCGTCCCAGGTCCCAGGGCTTCTTACCTCCTCTTCCCGCCTCCGCCGGCGCACGGGGAGGGGCCCCTAGGCTTACCCTCAGCGCTCGGTAAGGGCTCCCGGAGGGTGGGCCTGGGGAGGCCGGCGGGGAGCCGAGACGCGGGATGGCAGCCCTGCTCGCCCCCACCCCCAGCTTCAAGGAGCGCTTCCATGCCAGCGTGCGCAGGCTGACGCCCAGCTGCGAGATCACCTTCATCCAGTCGGAGGAGGGCAGCGGCCGGGGCGCGGCTCTGGTCTCCGCCGTGGCCTGTAAGAAGGCCTGCATGCTGGGCCAGTGACGACAGCGGCCTAGAGGCGAGGAGGAGGCTGTGGCCATCGCGATACCTGAGCTCCAGGGGTCAGCGCTTCCCACAGGTGCACTCATTCCGGTCCGCCTCCCATTCCCGCTGCCACCTGGACATGGGGCAAGGGCAGCGGGGAAGGAGGGTGCCCCCGGGGCAGGCCAGGTCTTCCTGAGTCAGCTGGTGGGACAGCCCTAGGGCCCTAACTGTGTTGGGGGCTGAGATGAACAGGAACGGAGACCCCAGAGCCTTTCTGCCAGAATCAACCCCCTAGAAGGGAGTCGCTCGCTCAGGACTTTGTTGCATCTCTGCATGGCTGCATCTTGGAGCTTTCAGCCTGGGTCAGCCATGCCCACTCCCACTCCGCTCAGGGAGGGGGTGCCCTCTGGACCATGCTGTGGCCTGGCTTCCCTGGGAACTCAGCCCACATGGAGAGGCAGCCCCAGGGACCTGGCCAGACCTAGGCCTGGGCTCCACAAGGGGCAGGGCTGCTGACCACCCAGGCCTGGGAGTGGGGGAGTGAAATCGGAGGGGACTGGCCTAGTGTGGAGGCTGCGGTACTAGAGGTCTGAAGACAGCGGCCTTTTCCCTTCCATGCTGCCTTCCCTGAGTGGTTTGGGGTTCTGGGACGGATCCTCACAGGAGGCACAAGAGACAAGAGAGCCCAAAGCCACAGCCAGGAAGAGGAGGGGCTGCCACACACTGACCCAGCAGAACTGAGCACACCCCAAGTGACTACCCAGGCCTCTCCTCAGCAGACCTCCATGTGCAACACCAACCTCTTCAAACCCAACCTGGGACTGTGTGGGTTTTTTTAATTAAAAGTTTTAAAAGTTTAGACCTTGGTCTTGTCCACCATTCTTTGACCTCTGTGCATAAGGACTAGGGGACAGCATGTAGACGCGGCCACATTGCACAGACACTCTGCAGGCCTACGAGCACCTGGCCAGCTATGTCAGGAGTATGGAGAGTGACAGACCAGGCTGTAGGAATGGGGTGGCATTTGGGTGATGTCGGTGGGTCCCGGACTTACCCAGCCTCCACCCACCGGTGGGATTTGGGGCGTGGATGCACTAGTATCTAACATCGAAGCAGCTCTGTGGTCCTGGGAGCCCTAGGGAGTGCCCAGGAAGGGGGGGGGCTAGTCTCAGGGGCTGGCCCTGCTCCAGGTCAGGCTCAGCAGGGGTCCCTCCATGCGTGTTGGGATACAAGAAGACAGGTGATTTCTGAGGTCTTTCTGGGTACTCCTGGGTCAAAAGCCTGTTTCGAGTTAGCCAAGCCTGGGGCCTAATGCCATCTTACACAGAAAGCCAGTGACATACAAACACATACTTGTCTGAATTTAACATGCACTCACTTTTCAGTGAGAAATGACTTGTTTCATTCAGAACTGAACCCAAAGTTGTGTTTTGGAGCAGGCTATTCCCCTTCAGATGTCTTGGTTCTCCTGTGTCTCCCACGGAATTACTCCTGATCTTTAGTCCTCTCCAGTCTAAATTATGCACCAGCAGCTCTGCCAGCCAGCTAGCGTCTGATTCTGTCATTGTCCCACTAATGTTCTCAGGTTGCATTGTTGCCCGCTGGGTCTCATTGTAATACAAATTACTTCCTAGTTGCCCTTATCTTACAGTTTAGGGCATTGTGGCGATTTTTAAAAATCCTCTGTGTGGGTAGGTTATCCTATGAATTTAATTTCTGAAGCATAGAAGAGGTATCATAAAAGACTTGTACAAAAGGGACATCAGGTCTGCTGTTCTGGGCTGAGAACCACTGCTCCTTCAGCTGGGCTGTCTGCATTGTCACCCCACCCAGCAAGGGGACAGCCAGGGGCCCACTCCTTGTGCTTTGAAAGTCCCCGGCTTCCCATGTCTTCTGTATGCTGTGCCCTCTAGGAGCTGGATGCACAGCAGAAGGGCGCCCAGTCCCCTCATTCAGCATTGAGCCCCTCACCAGGGGCTTGGGACCCACAATCAGGGGAGTCCAAGGAAATGTTTGGGGTCCAGGCAGTGCTCCAGCTCCAAAAGCCTCATATGCAGGCTCTGTTTGGGGTCCCAGCCAGCTCAGGGCTGCCTGCTGCCCTTTGGTCAGGGGCCAAAAGCCAGGGCCAAGTGTCTTCACCCGAAGCTCTGGGAATTCCTGGTGTTCTCAGGCCAGAGACCACCCTCTGGGCCACCCACTGCCCTCCCAAGCCCAGTGGAGCCCCAGGCCAGCCCTCCCCCAGCTGTCCTCTTGAATTGGGCAGGTTCTGTGCGGGGCCTACAGGAGGGACAGTCAGATGGAGGTGAGGGGGGGCCCTCATTCAGCACTTTGAGTGGTGAGGGCTGAGAGGCCGCTCTCCTCTCTGCTCTGGGGAGGCCTTGTGCCCCATGCTGCCCAGTTGGGTGGACACCAGATGTTACACATTATATGTCAGAGGCCTAAAGGTCATGAGGAATGTGGATGGAATCCACTTGGGGCCCTATCCTCCCCCAGCCCAGGCAGGGGCTGCCAAGTTTGGGTCTGTCCTCTCGTCCTTTCCTTATTTGGTGCTCCAGGTGATAAGGCTGACACATAAAGGGGGCTGTGGGCCCCTCACGGCAACCAGGCTGCCAGAGACGATGGTGAGTGCCAGGTCGGGTGACTGGAGGGCCGCCTTTGGGGTTGGGAAGCATAGTGGCTTCTGAGCCGCGGGGCCTGTGGTGATAGTCTCCAGGGTAGGAAGAGGACCTGACACAGCCTTCCTGGGAATGCTCTGGGGTGCACGTGGGGGCATCTTCGGGGAGCCCTGGAGAGGACCCCTGCCCACCCACAGTGTTGCAGGCCAGCAGGAAGGCGGGGACCCGGGGCAAGGCCGCGGCCACCAAGCAGGCCCAACGAGGCTCTTCCAACGTCTTTTCCATGTTCGAGCAAGCCCAGATCCAGGAGTTCAAAGAAGTGAGTGCCCTACACCCAGTAGCACCCCCGCCCCCATACCCCTCTCTCCTTTGTAGGTCGGTGGTCCTGGCCACTACCCTTGCCCCTCTTACCACCTCCCACCTTCACTGGGGAGGGGGGCTGCTCCCACCTGGAGACTGTTCCCCCACTTCACAGGCCTTCAGCTGCATTGACCAGAACCGTGATGGCATCATCTGCAAGTCAGACCTTCGGGAGACCTACTCCCAGCTCGGTGAGTCCACCACCTCCCACCAGCCCCGGTTCCCGCAAGGGACCCTGCCCGAGCTGCTGGGCTGCAGAGGGCCTGCTGAGGCGACAGGCCTTGTCCCTTCTCCCACCCTTCACACCGCCCTCCCCTGCTGTCACGCCTCCCTTCTGCTTCACCGCCCCACCCACAGCGGCCTCTGACTCTGTCCCCTGTGGTTCCGAATGAGGGGCGGGAAGCCTGAACCCTGCTGGGATCACCTCTGAGTCCCTGTGTCCACCTCATGCTCCCCCCAGGGAAGGTGAGTGTCCCAGAAGAGGAGCTGGACGCCATGCTGCAGGAGGGGAAGGGCCCCATCAACTTCACCGTCTTCCTCACGCTCTTCGGAGAGAAGCTCAACGGTGAGCCTGGGGCAGGTCTGGACACCCCTGGCCGGGCAGCGAGCTTGAACCCAACCTGGGCCCCGCCTGGACCCCACCTGGGCCCCGCCTGCCTTTGCCCACTCAGATATGGGGCCCACTCCTGCATTCCAGGCCCACAGGCACTAGTCACCCCAAGTCCCAACGTGGTGTTGGAAAACGTGCCTTCAGCCTCCACTCCCAAATCCCAAATCCCAAATCCCAGCGTCCTGGTCATGCTCACCTGCTCCCTCGGCCTCCCAGGGACAGACCCCGAGGAAGCCATCCTGAGCGCTTTCCGGATGTTTGACCCCAGTGGCAAGGGTGTGGTGAACAAAGACGAGTAAGTGTCAGCTGGCCGTGCAAGGACGCTGTACCGAAGCAGGCGAGGCGGGGAGGCCCCTTGGGGGTGGCTGTGTGGACCCTGGGGGCCTTCATTCCCCTCCCCACTGTTCCCACCCCCCAGGTTCAAGCAGCTTCTCCTGACCCAGGCAGACAAGTTCTCACTGGCTGAGGTAAGGGGTCCTGGCTCCTTCGTGGGGCGCTCATCCCGCAGGGCCCTGGGGGGCTCTCGGAGGCGTAGAGCCCAGCTCTCCGGAGGAGGCAGTGGAGCCAAAAAGGGAGGAGAGTGTGCCCAGCTGGCAGAGCTGTGTGTGCAAGAACCAACGAGGAGAGCCCAGGTTTTGTACCCAAGGGGGAGGTCGGCACAGAGAAGAGAGCGAGCGTTCCTGTGGCCACATTGTGCCCTTTGACTCATGGCCCCCTTTGGGGCCCCCATCCCCCAAGTCTGCCCAGAGTCAGACAACAGAAAAACATTAACTCAGAATTTAGGGTTTGGGCCTGAAAAGGCTAAGGACCACAGCGCAGCCCCAAGACAGAGTGAAGGGCCCCGGGCTCTCACAGTGCCTCCCCCAGGTGGAGCAGATGTTTGCGCTGACACCCATGGACCTGGCCGGGAACATCGACTACAAGTCCCTGTGCTACATCATCACCCACGGGGATGAGAAGGAGGAGTGAGCCGGGCTCAGCATGACTCGGCCATGCCGGCCCACCTCAATAAACGCTGTTTCCCATGAACCCTGCAGTGGTGGCCTGTGCGTGACAGACGAGGTGGGGGGGGCCCAGGGGAGCTGAGGGCTAGGAGCAGGGACCACTGTGAGAAGGAAGCAGGCCCTTCGCTGCCCCGTGACGGGTGAGGGCACTGAGGCCTGAGAGGGCAGCCATCTTGCCTCTGGGAGAGGAAACAGTGGGCTTTAGGAGCCCCTCACCAGGGCCCGCTCCAGCTGGGCTCAGCAACCTGAGGCCGCCTGTCGGGCGCTCAGCGGAGGTTCTGCCAGAGGCCCTGGGTCTCTGCCCTCCTGGGACCCCTGAACACACAGCCCCCATCTCTGCACACTGGCTCCAGTGGGCCTCCCTGCACACGTGTGTGGGGTGCTGGGCCCTGTCTGAAAGGCGCAGAGGAGCCCATTGGAAAACAGCCAGACTGCATCAGAAACGTAGGCAAAACCCATGACACCAAAGGAGGGGCAAGCTCAGGGACTGGCTGCAGGCCTGCCAAGGTGGGGGCTTCTCTGCAGAGGACTGTTAGTGTCCCCTCCCCCACCTCACCTGCAGAAACCAGGGGCTAGAGGGGTACATGCCCCCATCCTGGGTACTGGAAGGCAGCTGACCCTCCAGAGTCCCAAGTAGGGGGTGGGGGGCAGGGGACCGGCAGAGTCCTTCTCTGGACCGAATAGCTGAGTGGGAGCTCTGTGCGCCCTCCCACCCACCAGGCACCAAGGAGGGGCTGACCACACCCCTGTCCTGAGGCCCCCAGGAGACCAGGCATTTCCTGGGAGAGGTGCTGAGGTTTGATGTTTATCTGGGACTTGGCAATTCACTGACTACATTGAGACTAGAGGGTTGAAGCTCTCTTTCTACTGCTTATCAGTGAGAACAAAAGTCATGGAACTGCCTGAGAGGGTGCAGAGGCCCCATGAGGTGACCCCCAGTGGGTGGGTGGAGTTCCAGCACAAAGCTGCTTGCTGGACAGACTAATTTCACATAGTATGGGACAATTTTATAGTTCGAGCCCCAGCTGACAAAACTTGTGGACGACTCTGAAATGGACCAAAGAGGTCACAGCTGCCTTCAAAAGGGGGGTGTCTAGCACAACCCCAGACCATCTGCTTCTGTGGGATCCCTGCACCACCACCCCCATGGTCTTGGAGCTGGTCACAACTCTAAGTCGTAAAACTAACGTCAGGCCAGTGAGTGCAGGTGAACATTATCCCTCATGCCCAGGGAAGCACATGCCTCATGTCCCTTGGGAAGCACAGGGAATGTCCCCTCTCTGCGACTACTCTTTGAATCATCCTCTGATCCAGCCGTAACACCTGATTGGTTCACTCGTGAATTAATGAGTAGATAAAATCTTTTACTTTTTTTTATGTTTTTATGTTTGTTTGGAAGTCATGACTGCTTTCAAAGTGTTTCCCTTTCTCACTCTTGGGGTAGTTATCTGGTGCGGTTAATCCTTTCCGCAATAGAACTGCCCTTGTTAGTGTTAGTTTGGAGAAAACAGAGGCAGAGAATGTGTGTGTTTGAAACAAAAGAGAGGAACAGAGAGACAAGTGGAGAAGGGGACAGACCCTGAGCAGGTGTCCCAGCCTCTGGCCCTCCCTGGGACTATGTCCAGAACCTCCCAGGGCACCCTGGAGGGACTTCTGCCAGCTTTTGGCCCCTTCTCCTTCTCTGCCAGGAGCTCACGTCCAGTGGGAGGGATGCACAGAAAAACACCATCCCCTCCCAGGCCCTACCCAAACCCCTCCTGCTCACCCCCAGCACCCTGCAGAGCCTGGAAACAAAGGCAGGTGTCCCCGGCAGCAGCACAGGCCCCCCAGGGATGGAGGGGGCTGGCTGGAAATACAGAATCTGAGGAGACCCCCGGAGGGCCCTCGAGCCAGGGCTGGCCCACTGTGCTAGGTGAGATGGCCAGATGGCAGATGCAAATTAAAAATAAGCACAAGTTAATACTCCCAGTGCAAAAAACTTTTTCCTCCCTTTAGAAAATTTGTAAGCGCAAGTTCTTTCCCTACCTCTTTTTGTGTAAATCTGTTTAGAAGCTAAAGAAGTCTGTTGCAAGTTTTACAAGCCAGGAAAGCTCCTGAGGACATGGAGCCATCTCTGAAGGGAGGTCCCACCCATCTCCCAGCTTCCTGGGAGGCTGGAGCTGATCTTCCGGCCCAAGCCTAGCCCAGCGGTGAAGGTGTGAGAAGTCTGCTCTCCCTTCTGATCAAGGCAGTCAGTCTACCCAGGGGCCCCCAGCACAGCTGAGGCAGATGCTCTGACCCCCGCTCCCCCTGCAGGGCCAGCGTCTTTTCTTTTGGGCACAGCAGGGCTGGGCAGACCTGACTTCTTCCTGTCTTTGGGATCTCCTAGGGGTTTGCCTGTGAAGAGTTCCGAGTGCCGGTTTAGTGCTTATTCAGTAACCAGTCTGTTTGCTTTCTCGCCCACCTTTTTGGTCAGGTCATTTGGCTTCGCAAGTTTTTGTTTAATTACCTTCCCAGCATGGCCTGAAGCTCCTCCCACCAGAGCCTCAGCCAGAGGAGGCGGGCGCAGAGCGGCCTCGCCAGGCTGCCCAGGGGCGCAGCAGGGCCAGGCAGTTTGTAGTATTTTCTGATTTTTAAGCTGAGATGCCTTCGGCCCCCAGCCAGGGCCCCAGTCCCAGTCCTGTCCCCCCGCCCCCAGCAGAGTCCTCTGGGCAGGGGCGGACATTCTTTCTTTAGATGGCTGTTAACACCACTGATAAAAGTAAAGACACGCTCTTAAACTTTGCCTGGCTCTGGAAATCTGTGCTCTGCATGCCCTTCCCGGAGGCATGGGCTGTTCTGAGCTTCTCTGGAAAGGTCAGATGGCTGTCGCCATCCCCACCGCCCACACTGCTTTCTGTCCAGCACAGACCCTCTGCCACACAGGCTGAGGGGTCCAGTGCCCCAGTTCTGGCGGGTGTCTCTGCAATTGCAGCGCTGGCACCTTGCTCTGACAAGAATGCAGGAGTGTCTCGTCAGCTGGGGGGACGTGTGAAGAGCAGGTCTGAACACACTCTCTAGACTCTTCGGGTCGGAGAGGCTGGGGGCGTGCAGATGCAGAGGGGGGCCTTCTCACTGAGAGGCACGGAGCAGGCCTGGGAGTCGGGCAGCCTGGGTTCCAGTCCCAGTCCCTGCGTACATGAGCGACCTTCAGTGAACCCTGCTCCCTCTCTGGGACTCGGTTTCCTCACCTGTGAAGGAGGGCTGGGCTGGGTGCTGGCAGCAACTGCCACTCACCGAGGCCACACGTGGCACTCAGTGCCTTCCTGAGCCACGTCTGCATCACACCCCTTGGGCCACCTTCCCATCCTCCCTTCTGAGGTCAGCCCTGAGTGGCCACCAGAGGACCACCAGGCATATCCACAGGCGGGGCCACTGCAGCACTTGATTTCATTTCCCTGATTAAATGTGCAGAGGGAGGGACGTGCAGACGGATTGGGGGTTGACATCGTACCCCCATCAGTCTTCAGGTGCTGTCTGGTGACCTGACAATTTTCAGCAGAAAGGGGAGTGCCTTGGAAGTGTGGCAAAGCCAAGGACTTGCCACCCATCTTGAGGGGGCAGAGCCCCCGGGAGCCGACACAGAGGCAAGGGGCAGGAGGGGTGGCTGCAGCCCCGGGGAGGAGGGCCCCTGCTGGCTCCCCTCCCTCTCTGCCCACCACTCCGTCCTTTGCCCTTCTGAACAGCCTCTGAGCCCTGCGTCTCCCTCCGGTCCTCCTGCCGTCTGTGGCACATCCCCACAGGACCTGCCGCTGACGCGCGCAGAGCCACACCGCTCCAAAATAGAACCTTATCGCCCTGCACGCCTGCTCTGCCGTCAGCAACACCTCCCCCAACCTTCTTCCAGGACCCCTCCTTAACGCTCTGCTTCCTCCTCCTCCTCCCCTCCCAGAGCTGCCCCAGGACCCACAAAGTCACCCTGCTCGGCCTTCTCAACTGCCCACAGCCAGCTCCGGCCTGGTCCTCGGGCCCCCTCCTGGCGCTGCCTGGTTGGAGCCACCCCTAGTGGCCAAGCACCATTCACAGCCCGCCTTGTGGTGACCCCCCTCCCACAACACCTGCAGGGTCAAGCAGTGAGAGGTCGGGCCCCCTGCCTTGGGCCACAGGTGACTGGACTGGGGTGGCCACTGCTCCCAGAGGTACACAGAGCAGAGGCAGAAGGTCTGTGGGAGAGGGAAGCAGGGGGTACACGGGAGCAGAGGCACGAGCTCTGAGGCCAGTGACACACAGGAGAGGGGCCGTCCTCCCTGTCCATGGTCCCGAAGGGCTGTGCCCTTGTAATGAAACCCACGTTTGCCTAAGTTACCTCCAGTTGGTTCCTGTGACTGTCCTCTGACCTCCCTCCAGTTCTGAGTCGCTGAAATCCAACTAATCCATGACCTTTGGTTTAAGTTGGCCAACACCGACTGGTGCTGCTGCCCCTCACCCACCACTGAACTGCAGCTGGGCCCACTCACGAGGGCACCCCATCCCACAGCCATGACAATGGCACCATCTCTGTGTCCTGAGACCAAAGAACAGCTTTCAGAGGCCCCATCTGCCTCCCGGACCTCCCTGCACAGGCCTCCACCTGGCGCATTCCCCCTGCTCCACTGAGGCTCCTGGACTGCCCCCTGCCCCCTACCGGTGACGTGACCTCATCCTGCCCGCCACAAGGCTCAGACAGTTCTAACCAGCCTATCCCATACTGTGGCCTGTCACGTCATCTAACTGTCACTCCTGACTGGGGAAGGCAAGGGCCACCTCATTTGCCTCTTCCCACATCCAGCTCTCCTACATCACACCAGAGATGTACAATAAATGTTCAAGATGATGCTGATAACTTTTCCTGCTTTCACGCTAACTTATAAGTTTTTCATTAGGCCTGTAGAAGAAACACTAGACATCCACATGCAGAAGCACGAAGTTGAACCCTTACCTCAAACCATATACAAAAATGAACTCGAACTCTAAATGGATAAAAAAGCTAAAACTATAAAACTCTCAGCAGAACCCATAGGGGAAAGTTTCGTGACAATGGATTCGGCAAAGAGTTCTTGGATATGACGAACAGTTAAGGACAATCCATGAAATGTGAGAAGATATTTGCAAATCACATTTCTTACAGGGGATTAATATCTGGAATATATAAAGAACTCCTAAAACTCAATTAACAAAAACACAACCTGATGAAAACATGGGCAAAACACTCACGTGAAAATTTCTTCAAAGTCACACAAACGGCCGACAAGCCATGAAAAGGTGCTCAGCATCACGAATCATCTGGGAAATGCTAGTGCAAACCCCGGTGAGAGACCACCGCTCACCCACAAAGACGAACAGCAGGTGAAGGTGACATGCACAGGGGATGGGAACGTAAGATGTGCAGCTGCTGTGGGACAGCATGGCGGCTCCTCAAAAAGCTGACACGGTATTCCTGTTTCCCCAGCGCTTCCTCTTCTGGGCACAAATGCGAAAGGATTGAAAGCAGGGCCTCGAACAGCTATTTGCACACCCGTGTGCACAGCAGCCAAGAGGTGGGCACAACCCGTGTCCACGGACAAAAGAAGCATGAACTGTGGTGCATACACACAGTGGAATATTATCTGTCCATCAAAGGGAGTAAAATTCCTCACACGTGCTGCCGCAGGGGCTCCTTGGAGATATTAAGTGAATTAAGCTAGACACGAAAAGACAAAGATTGTATGACCCTACTTACACGAGGCTCTGAAAATAGACACATTCGTAGGGACAGAAAGTACATTTAATGGGTAAGGGCAGGGGACGGGAGCGGAGAGTGAGTGTCTAATGGGCAGAGAGTCAGCTGGGAAGATGAAAAAGGTCTGGAGACGGTGCTGGCGATAGTTTCACAACTGGGTGAACGTGCTTAATGCCAGCAAAACCTACACTTCAAAACGGTCAAAATGGTGAATCTTACGTTATATAGATTTTACCACAATAAAAATCTGCTTCAATAAAAACACATTGGTGAGTGTCACAGAGGCCCCTCCCTGCAGAGCGTGCTTCCGCTAGAACCCAGCACTTATTTTGAGGGCCCAATCCCAACAGCACCGGTCTGTTAAGCCTGCTGTGGGCCCTTTGCCCTTTTATACTCATTTCATTTAAGAGCAGCTTTGGCTTTGGCCGGCCAAGTGGCACAGTTGGTTAGAGTGCAAGCTCTGAGCAACAGAGTTGCCAGTTCGATTCCCAAATGTGCCAGTGAGCTGCGCCCAAGCTGAGCTGCCAACAGGTGGCAGGATGGCTCAGCTGGTGAGAGCACGTGCTCCTAACAACAAGGTTGGCAGCTCAACTTGAGATAGGGGGCAATGCTCACCCGTAACTAAGATTGAATATGGCACCTTGAGCTGAGCGGCCGCAAGCTGCTAATGGGCAGCTGGATGGCAACTGGACTTGGAGATGAGCTAGCCGCACCCTCCACAACCAAGACTGAAGGACAACAACTTGGCTGTTCCCCTCCACCAATTCCCCAATAAAATCTTTAAAAAAGAAAAAAGAGCAGCTTTGACTTCATGTTCAGAAAGCCCAATGTGGAGAAAGCAAACAGGTTCGTTTTTTGCTATTAAGTAAGAAGTAAGCATTCGCTGGGCTTGGTCCAGTGGCTGGGCAGCACGTGGGAGGCATCTCTGGGATTTTCTCAGAGTTCCAGGACACTGCCACGTACTGTTTTCACGACAGAGAAGGTTGGAAGGGCAGCAGGCTGTGTCCCTGCCTTTTATCACAAAAGCACATTCCTCAGAAACCCAAACCCCGAGCCCTGCCAGACTCCTCCTCATGTCTCTGCCAGATATGCTCTCATCACCACCGTGGCTGCCAGGGCGGCTGAGAAAGCCAACACGTGGACTGTCCATCCTTGCCGACAGCAGGAGTCCCGGAAGGTGTCCCGTGAGCCCCCACTGTGCCCGTGCCCTCGGGAAGCACACCCACTCACTGTCCCTGCCCTCTCACAGCCCCCATCACTCCCTCTGTGGCTGTTGCCTAGGGGTCTGTCCCAGACCCCTCGGCTGCCCCATCTCAGTGCCTGACACAGGCCAGCCAGCAGCAGAGCTCAGCGGGGAGGCGGCACAGCTCCGTGTCTGAGCGCGCGGCTCAGGAGGCTCAGTCAGGGCTGCTCAGGTTCCGGCTCCGGCTTCCTGGCGGTGAGACGGTGCAGGGACGAATCCTTCTGCACAACCAAGATGATAATAACACCTGCCTCTCTGGGCTACGGCAAGATTGAATGTGATAACACGCTCATGGCACTTAGTACACCGCCTGGCACACACACACACACAAAATGCACCGAGCCGGTGCACGCTGAGCTGGGACTCTCCGAGCACCGGGCACTGTGGCTGCCACACGCCCTGGGAGGCAGGCCCGTGGGATCCGGCGGCAGTGACCGTGTTCGACAAACGCCCTATTAACGGCAGGGCCGGGAGTGGGCAGATAGAGGGTGCCGTCGGGCGGGCAGGCCTGGAGGCCCTGTACCCACAGATGTCACACCGAGTGGGGTGGCGTGACGCGTGTCCAGCTGACACAAGCCGTGTGACCTCTCTCTGCCTCCGTTTCCGTTCCGTCAAAGGGCTGCTTGAGGATTAGAAGAGTTCATATGGCGAGAGCTTGGCACAGCGGCAGGTCTCCATCCGCCGTCACCCGCCGTCCTGCGCAGACAAGCCCGGGACTCGGGAAACCAGCGCGATGGACGAGCGGGAGCGACGCCCCTCGCTCGCTTAGGAATTCTGTGGAAAAGCGCCTCCCACGTGGGGGTGGCGCTCGTGGGGAGGAAGGCGTGTGGACGAGGCGGGGCAGGCGGGCGAGCCCGCGCCGTGCAGGCTGGAGGCTGGGCCGCGCGGACCCTCCTCGGCCGCCCCGGACGCCAGCGCCCGAACTCGCCCCGGCCTTCCGCCGAGTGACATCTCTGCGGGCCGCGCGGCCCTCGGTCTCAGGCCTCCCGCCGGCTGTCACCACGGGCGGTCACCGCAGCCTGGCGCCCGGCAGGGTCACGGGGTAGAGCGAGGGGCGCCAACTCCCCTGAAGGCGCAGGGACCTCGCGCTCCGGACTCCGACAAGGGTACAGTCAGAGCGACTGAGGCACAGGCCCCGCCCATGTTGCCCAGGGAATGGGGGCGTGGCTCCGCGCACGCGCAGCGTCTAGGGTCAGGGAGCGCGGCGATAGGTGGGGCGGGGCGCGCGGATTGGCGGGAAGCGGCGCGCGGCGGTGGGCGGGCCCCGAGGTGATGGACTGAGGGGAGCGAGCGGCGATTGGCTGGATGCGGCGATGGGCGGGCGGGGCGCGCAGATTGGCGGATGCGGCGCGTGGCGGTGGGCGGGCCGCGGCGCGCGGCGAGGTGAGTGAGGTCCGGCGTCGCCCGGTGGCATGGGGGCGGCTGGGCCTGGGGTTGTAGGTGTCCACGCGGGGTCGCGGGCTGAGCGTCGTCTCGCGGGGTCTGAGCGGAGTCTGTGCTGTTCTCCCCACCCCCATCGCAGAGCGCGGGCCGGCGGGGCTCCTTCCCCCACTCTGCACGTTTGGCCCGAAAGTTAACTCAGATTCGCCCCAGCCCAGAGCTGCACGATAGAAACAGGGTACAGGCCACCTGACAGGGGACCGAAGAGGTAAACGGAAGGGAAGTCAGTTTGGTGCCACATCTGTGTGACCCACCGCATGCAGACCTGTGACCCAGCCCGTGACGTGGCTGAGCCCGTCCTGGCCCAGATCCTGGCAGCCCCCCTGGGCCGAGGCTGCTGCTGGAAGGGGTCGGGCGCCTATCCCTCTCCTGGAGCTCACGTCGAGTCGGAGGAGGCACACAGGAAACTGAACATGTGTGTTTGTTAGGAGGGAAATGCCTTGAGAAACGGTGAGCACTGAAGAAGCAGAAGAGCCGGTTGGAGAAGGTGGATGTGCCAGGACAGGAGTGAGGGCCACACATGTGGGCCTCCTGGTGGAGGCACAGGAGAGCAGGGCCAGTGGGCAGATCGCGTAGGCCATCGTAGGGACTTGGGGTTTTATTCAGTGAAATGGGGGCCCTTTGGAGAGTCCTGAGCAGAGGACCGACTGATTTGCTTTATTGTGCCATTTAATAATAGGCCTATTTTGCAGTAGCCTTGTCTGGCCTCATGCCGAGACGGGGCAGGTACTGGGAGCTGGCTGGGGGCAGGTGAGGAATTCATTTGGGGCGAGTGGGATCTGAGGCCCTGCTGGTTGCTGCGGTGGAGGTATGCAGCAGGCAGTGGCCACCTGAGGCAGGTCTGGATGGCTCCAGGTGGGAGAAAAGGCTTTCCTTGTCTCCGTCTCTGCAGGAGGGTTACAGGGCCAGACACTGGTACCCAGCACAGCCTGTTTGCAGGTGCAGCCCCACCCTCGTCTGCGGGGCCACTGCTCTTCCGCCTCCTTTCCCCGGGGCCCTGTGGGTGCAGCAGGAAAGCTGCCGTCGGGGGGTGGGGAGGGTTTCAGGAATGCATTTGTGTTCTCACAGTGACCACGTCCTCCTCGGCCCCGGGCACAGCAGTCTAGACCCATCGAGCAACCATGTTTTCTGAGCAGGCCGCCCAGAGGGCCCCCACTCTGCTGTCCCCGCCTTCAGCCAACAACGCCACCTTTGCCCGGGTGCCCATGGTGACTTATACCAACTGCTCACAGCCATTCAGGCTGGGGGAGCGCAGCTTCAGCAGGCAATACGCCCACATCTATGCTACCCGCCTCATCCACATGAGGCCCTTCCTGGTGAGCCGGGCGCAGCAGCACTGGGGTGAGTGACCGCAGTGGGGAGGCGCCTCCTCCCCAGCAGCCCAGAGGGTACCCCACTTAGAAATCTGTGAGACGCCTGGCGGAACTGGAACTTGTCTTGAATTTATCCCACTTCCCAGTAACCAGGGAAGATTAACCTCTTTATGGCTCAGCCTCTGCTTGGTAGTTACGAGGGTTAAATTAAGGAATTTATGTGTTTAAAGTTAGGCTCTGTTCAGTGGCTGAGACCCGGTAGGGCTTAGTTCTGGCAGTAACAGTGATAGAGGGAAATGCTTTTCCTTATCGTCAACGCAGATTATCTGCGCATTTGGGCATGGTGTGGCCAGCGAGCACCTCCGTGTGGCATGCCTGGGACCCCAGGTCGGTGGGGGCACCCACCCGTCTCGAGGGAACTGCCTGTTTCACTGATGCCCGTGCTTCTCCGCTGGCCTCCTGTTTGTTGGGCATCAGTGTCCTGTCCCTTGGGCTCATCTGTCCTAAGTACATGGCCTGCTCCCTCATTTAATGCAAACCTTTTTCCCCATTTCTCCCTTGGCGACCTCTCGTGCAGCCAAGTTATTCTCGGTGAAGCAGGACCCCGCGTTCAACTTTTGGGTGACACTGCATTGCCCCATTCTCGCTATTTATACGAGTGGCTTCCTATGTATGTTTCAATTCATCTGTTAATGTTTCTGAACTGGAGTTTCGTAGGTGAGCCCATGTCTCATTCGTTTTCAGTGCCCCCAGCACCAGGTTCGCACTGGAACCCCTTGCAAAGCCTCGGGTATTCAGCCCCCCATCTCACCCAGCCAACTGGATCAGCGCTGGTCATGTCATTGTTGGCCCAGGCCCCCTGGCTCAATAGTCGTGTTCATCAAAGACATTCTGTTTTGTTTACTGCTGGCAAAAGCGTTTTTCACCTTTCTTCTGCCACATCATAAGGGTCTCCCTCTGGCCCCCACTTCCCTCGAAGCCGCCCGGGAACGCCATCCTCGGGCCCAACGTCACTGCCACTGTTGAGGTTCTTTACAGCAGCGCCCCTCTCTGGCACCAGGCTTCTCTTCCAGTCTGCTGCTAACAAAAGTTGCAGAGATGGCAAAGAGCCACTTCATTCTGCTGACAGACTGGGGTCAGAAATGCAGACCGCGGCCATGATGACTCGGTGGGGCAGTGCTGGCTTCACCCAGAGCAGCTCCAGTGGCTTCTCCGTGTGACCAGGAGGCCTCTCCGGAGCTCTGTCCACCGCCGTGCTCCCTGCATGCGCCTTCCCCAGGCTTCCTCAGGGTCACAACTGAAACGGCATGTGCTTCTAGAGGCCCCCTCGGCCACCAGGGCCTTCTCCATGTCTTCTGTCTTAGCTCCCGTTTCTTTGTGGCGCTTGTCACAGCGGCTGATCCCTCATGGGCTGCTGCTGTCTCCCTCCAGACCGTGGGTTCAGCGAGGGTGAGTGCGGGCCTTCGTGTTTACACTTGGTGTCGTTGTACACTGGCGCCCATATGCCTCCCGGACACGTGGGTGTCCTGCCCGTGACACAGGAATACGTGGCTGCCTGGTGCTCAGGAGCACACAGGGGGTCCCAGCTGTACAACCCCGGATGTGTGTTTTAGCCTGTCTGTGCTCTGTCTCCTCAGCCACATGGTGGGGTGATAGTTCTACTCTGGCGTGTGGTCGGGGCTGGACGAGCTCCACCCGCCACGCTAGGCTCTCCTGCCTGGGGCTGCGTGAAGGCTCAGCTGCCTGGGGCTCTGAGGGCTCAGCCGTTGGGGCTGGGAGATCTGGTTTCTGTTGGCATCTGGCGTTGGTACCCAGCACTGGCGCCCTCTTTATCTTGTTTTGAATTGTCTTCTCTGCTCCCCAGGGTGTTCTTGGTTGCTCCAGGCAGGAGGGGCTCGTGCTGGAGTCAGCTGGGATAAGGGGCTGGGCCCATGTCCATGTCGTCCGGCATCTCCTGACCACCGTTTTCTCTAGGCTTGGGGTCTATATGGCCAAATCTTTCTGAAACCTGCACCCCTTCCTGCTGCTCTCTCGAGTGACCCCTGAGGACCAAGCCTGATGCCTCCCATGTGCTGTCCCCAGGGTCCTGGCACTCTGACTCCATGGAGCAGAATGGGGTGGGGATATGAAGTTTGAATTAGGGGCATCTCTGTTTTCAGAGGATAAGGCATTTGTGGGGCAGATGGAAGAATCCAAACTCTTAAAGGAATATTTTTAGGACAGCTATGTTGGGACTTGGCATACCTCTTTCTAAGAACCAGTGTTATAATTTAGGTATCAGTGAGGTAATGCAGAGTTTCCCATGGCTGCTGTAACAAACAACAAAGCCACAAACTGGGCGGCTTCAAACAACAGGAATTAGTTCTGGAGACCACGTCTGAGATCCAGGTGTGGGCAAGGCTGTGCTCCCTCCGAAGGCTCCACGGGAGAGGCCACCTGCCTCTTCCAGCTTCTGGGGGCAGCCCTGGCCCTCCTGGGCTTGTAGCCACATCACTGCAATCTCTGCCCCATCGTCACGGGGCATGTCTGCCTCTCTTACAAGGACTCATCCAGAGCCCAGACACATCGAGTCCCTCTGTCCTCCGGGGCCAAGTGACCCTTTTGGTCCAGGGATCCTTGCACTGATGGCCTCTCCCCAGCAGAGGCCAGGCACCTGGGCTGCCGTGCTCGGGGAGGCCTGTTTCAGTGCTCTATGGGGTGCCTGGAGGGCCGCCTGGCTTCTGAACTCATGTCCGCTGTGCCCAGGCAGTGGAGTCCAGACAAAGAAGCTGTGTGAGCTGCAGCCTGGGGACAAGTGCTGTGTGGTGGGGACCCTCTTCAAGTCCATGCAGCTGCAGCCATCCATCCTGCGGGAGGTCAACGAGGAGGTGAGGCCGGCCGGCTCACATGGGCCTCCCCCAGACCACTTCCCTGGGGGCACCAATGGGGCAACTTGCCTCAGAGCCATGGGGGGCCGGGCTGCAGGGCCATGTCACAATGTGGCCTAGGAGCCCCAGTGGGCTCTGGCCCTGAGACCAGCGCTCACGTCTGCATTCCAGCACAACCTGGCGCCCCAGCCCCCTCGCAGCAAGTACATCCACCCAGATGATGAGCTGGTCTTGGAAGATGAACTGCAGCGTATCAAACTGGAAGGCAGCATCGATGTGTCCAAGCTGGTCACAGGTGGGCAGTGGGAGGGGGTGGCCTGTGCCCTGGGTGCTGGCACACGTGCAGTGGTGGGTGAGACCAGGTCGGGTCGGTCCTTCCTGCAGCCACCTGAAGGCAGTGACCCCAGGAAGCAGGTCCTGAGTGGGCTCTGCCATTTGGGTTACTGGAAGGAGGTGGCCCCCGGGCTCCCCTGCTGGGGTGACACTGTGCTCCCCAGGGACAGTGCTGGCTGTGCTGGGCTCTGTGAGAGATGATGGCAGGTTCCTGGTGGAGGACCACTGCTTCGCAGGGCTTGCTCCTCAGACGCCCGCACCCACCCTTGACCTGGACAGGTGAGGAACAGGTGCTGGGGTCCCAGGGGAATCGCGGTCACTGGGCTCCATCTCCCTGCTCACCTGTGACAGTGACAGAGCCCCACAAGTGACTCCTTGTGGCCCACCTGGGAGGTTGGCCTGCTTTTGTGGACCCCCAGGAGGACCCCGACTTCTCTTGTAGGTTTGTGCTGCTGGTGTCTGGTCTGGGCCTAGGTGGCGGCGGTGGGGAGAGCCTGCTGGGCACCCAGCTGCTGGTGGACGTGGTGACGGGGCAGCTGGGGGACGAGGGGGAGCAGTGCGGTGCCGCCCAAGTCTCCCGGGTCATCCTTGCCGGGAACCTCCTCAGCCACAGCACCCAGAGCAGAGACTCCATCAACAAGGTACGGCGCCCGCAGCCTGCGCAGCCCCCCTTCCCCACCGGGTGGCACCTGGCGGCCCCCTCCACTTGGGGGCTGGTTTGCGCTCAGGCCCTGCTTTGTCCCCCTGCTGGTGTGGCTTCGCTCTGCTTAGCCCAGGGGTGTCCCTGTGAGCTGAGCCCCGCTTGGGGCCTCACAGCCTCCACTCCTAGGCCAAGTACCTAACCAAGAAAACCCAGGCAGCCAGTGTGGAAGCCGTGAAGATGCTGGATGAGATTCTCCTGCAGCTCAGTGTGAGCGGGGGTGCTGGAAGGGACACAGTGTGTGTGTGTGGGGGGAGGCTCTGGGCGCAGCCTGTGGAGTGTGCCGGGCCCTCTGAGGCCCCCTGCCCTGTGCCTTGCAGGCCTCGGTGCCCGTGGACGTGATGCCAGGCGAGTTTGACCCCACCAACTACACGCTCCCCCAACAGCCCCTGCACCCCTGCATGTTCCCACTGGCCACCGCCTACTCCACGCTCCAGCTGGTCACCAACCCCTACCAGGCCACCATCGACGGAGTCAGGTAGCCAGCACAGCCACACTGCAGCCTGACCCCTGGTCTTGTGCCTCAGTGACCCTGAGAGGGGAGGGTGGGTCCACCTGAATTGGGCTCTTTCTCCAGAGTGGCCTGGGACACCCCCACAAGTGCCCGGCGAGCTCCTAGCCGGCCCTGAGGGTGGGCTCAGCCGAGCCTTGCCTTGCAGGTTCCTGGGCACAGCAGGACAGAACGTCCGCGACATTTTCCGGTACAGCAGCATGGAGGACCACTTGGAGATCCTGGAATGGACCCTGCGAGTCCGTCACATCAGCCCCACAGCCCCTGACACCCTAGGTAATTAGCGGGACTCAGCTACATGGGGTGCAACCTAAGGCCAGGGCAAGTCGGGCGCTCGGAGGGGTCCTGGTATGGATTTGCAATAACTGGCCTTGACACGTTGTTCTGGAAGCTGCCGTGGAAACATATCTGCATGGCCCACAGTCTGAGCCCCACTCTCAGCTACAGGCCCCTCTTCTCTAGGTTGCTACCCTTTCTACAAAACCGACCCATTCATCTTCCTGGAGTGCCCCCATGTCTACTTTTGTGGCAACGCCCCCAGCTTTGGCTCCAAAATCGTTCAAGGTAATTTTCATCTTCTGGGAGCCCCCGGCCTGGGCTATCACTAGTGACTCGCTCTCCACTGGGGACAAGGCTCACAGAGAAGAAAACCTACACTGGAGCCCGCAGCCCCGTGGGGTGGACAGCAGGGCTGAAACCGCCCATGCCTATGTGGTGCTGTCAGCCCTCATCTCGGGTCAGCGTGACTTCAGCCTCGGACCTTGATGGTGTCCTCTGCCCTTTCCATTTCTGATCCAAAGGAGATTCTATGCTCAGCACTCCCACAGTGCTGCTGGGGGACTCCTGTTTACTTGTGGTGACTTCCCTTTGAGACAGAGCTCACCCAGAACTGAAGTGGTTTCCCACTGGGTTTCTTTGCAGGCCCCGAGGACCAGACGGTGCTGTTGGTGGCCGTTCCGGACTTCAGTGCCACGCAGACAGCCTGCCTCGTGAACCTGCGCAGCCTGGCCTGCCAGCCCATCAGCTTCTCAGGCTTTGGGGCTGAGGACGAGGACCTGGGAGGCCTGGGTCTGGGCCTGTGAGTCACCAAGGCAGCCTGTCCAGAGGCCCCAACCACGCGTGCCTGCAGTGTCAGCACTGTAGCAGCTGTTCTTTGTAAATAAAGCCTGACCGTTTACTGGTTACTGGTACTGGTTACGTGTGCTGGTGCTGGGCCAGGCCCTCCTGTGGAGGGAACCCACACTGACTGTGAGTCTCCCGCCTCCCCTCTCCCCAAGCCGGTGGGACGGGGAGCGGTCAGTGACACATCTGCCATGAGCTTGGTTTATTGGTGTGGCCTGGGCAGGTGGTGGAGAAGTCTCTCCGGGGCTCGCCGGGCCTGCCCCCAGCCAGCCTCCCCGGCCGTCCTCTCCCGAGCCTGCGGCTCTTGGGCGTTGGTCACACCTGTGCCGCACACAGGTCCCAGCTGGCCCAGGCGACATGACAACTGGCAGGGCTCTTGGCCCTGGCAGACCTGTTCTCAGAAGTCCCCAAAGTTCACCGTATAGGTCTCTACTGTGGTGAAGGGGAACTCTGGGCCTGCGACTGTCACCTCCTCCTCTTCCTCCTCCCCCTCCTCCTCCTCCGGCCCCAGCTCAGTCCCAAACTCCGTCACCACCTCCGTGTAGGTCTCCGTCTCAGACTCCTCCCAGTCAGCTGTAGTCTCAGGTAGAAAGTGCCAGGGCCCCAGGGTGGAGATGGGGTCGGCAGAGGGGATCAGGGATGGGGTGGGGAGCAGTGTGGGGGTGGCAGGGGGCGGTGTGGAGGGCGTGGCCGGTCCCGCAGTGGCATTGAGGCGACGGAGCCGCATTTGTTCGCGCATGCGCAGGCGCCGCCGGTACTGCAGCCGCCGCTGCTGCAGGCGCCGCTGCTGGGGGGTCATGGGCCGCGAAGGGTCGATGTGGGGGATGGGCCGGTTCCCGTTCATGGCCAAGATCTCCCGGATGCGTTTCCAGTTGGAGCGAGCCAGGATGAAGTTGCACTGGGTGGCCCCGATGTCATAATCCACATTGCAGGTCTTGGAGCTCGGCGTGTAGCCCTCCGCCTGGACCGTCACACGGTACTCACCCGGGTTCAGGACGCGCCAGTAATCACCACCACTGGCTGCAGAGGGAGGGCTACTTCAGCTGCTCCAGAGACACACCCCCACCAGGCCCCAGCCTCCTCTCAGATCCCCCAGTCCCCCCCAGACCTCTCTGGGGTCCCCCGGTACCATCCAGCTCTCCCTCTACCTGGAGCAGACCCTCTGGGGACATCCAGGGGAGTGGGACCTCCTGGGCGGGCCTATGCCCGCCTGCAAAGACCACACAGGTTTGGGTCCCTGAAGGGGAAAGCGGGGTCGGTGTGCACACACGTACCTGTCTTCACACCGTGGTTAATGCCACTTACGGAGATGGTGGCATTGGCAATAGGAATGCCCTGTTCGTCCGTCACAACCCCCTTGATACCACGGTGAACCTGTAGGAGGGAGGCAAGGGCCGGTGTCCACATGCTGACCCTGGGGAACTGCTGCTCCCCTGCCCCTCTGGGTGGGAGTCCCCCAGGACCCTGCACAGCTGCACCCAGTGCCGCCCCACCCCCACCTGCTCCATGAAGGTCAGCAGAGCTTCCTTGTTGTTCTCCCACTCTCGGGGCAGCTCGCTCTCGTGAGGGAACTTGTCGCAGCCCAGGTAGATGGACAGCTCCAGGCAGTTGGTGTGCAGGTAACTGAAGTCATTGATGGCTAGACGGGGCGGACACAGCACAGTCATCCCCGCCCCGCACCAAGTGCCCCAGCGGGCCCCTACCCAGACAACTCCCAGATCAACTCACTCCCAGATCGGGGATTCCACTTGGCCCCGTTGACAATGCCCATGCCGCCGGTGTGGTCCTGCGCTTGGCACCCTCCCCGGTAGGGCTCGGTCATGGTGAGGTGGGTGGAGGCAAAGGAGATAGCCAGCCAGCGGAAGATGGCATGGTCTGGGGTCTCCTGAGCCTCGGACACCTCGTCCTCGTCCTCCCCGCGGGCAGCCGCCAGGGCCGCAGCCATCAGCTGCTCCTGACTGGGTGTGCGTGCCATGTCGTAGGGGTAGGACACGAGCCGCTCGCCGCCGTTAAGGTTCGCCCCCAGTACAAACGGGTTCTTCTCCATCCAGGCAATGATGGCCCGGACCTCTGTGGACACCTGGGGGCAGCCCATGCGCGAGTTTTGGGCAGCAGCCTCCACCACCCTCCATGCAGACCCCATGCCCCTGCCCCTCCAAGGCCCTGCAGTCTCAGCTCCCAGAGCTCCAGGACTCCAGGGCCCCAGCCGCTCTCACCGTGGCGTCTGGGGAGAGGTAGCGTTCAGGTATGGGCAGATTGTTGTTGGGGACCCGGTAAGGGACCCATTTCCTCTCCTCTGCTCCCCAGAGCACAGAGTTGAGATCCGGGAAGTCCTCATATATGTCGAAGCCCTCCTCGGTCCACAGCCCCAACGCCCAATTTCCGAACTCTGAACCCTGGGAGAGTTGGGGGCGGGAGTGGCAGCTTCGGTGCCCATCCAGCCCTGCATAAGCCCCGCCCCATCTGCCCCGCACCCTGCCTCACCCTCACCTTCACCTGCACCCGCACTCTGGCTGCCTCCTGCTAGACCAGGGCCCAAATCCCTCTCCCCTATACCCACCATCTGCGCTGCCACCTCGTAGCCGTCAGGGTTCAGCGAGGGCACCAGGTGAATGCGCGTGTCATGTACCAGGCTGCGCACACGGGGGTTCCCATCGCGGTACTCGCGGCACAAGTACTGCATGAGCAATAGCAGCAGCTCGCGGCCCAAGACCTCGTTGCCGTGGATCCCAGCTGTGTAGCGGAACTCGGGCTCCCCTGCAAGAGCAGAAGCTTCAGCAACCACTCAGCCTCCTGAGGCTGCTGCGGGATCTGAGAAGGAACCAAGCTGGCCTCACTCCAGGAGGGCTTGGGGCAGCTGAGGCTCGGAGGGCCCAGCAAGGCAACTGGGACCCCAGGAGGGTTCCCAGGACAGGCAGAAGGGGGTGAGCTGCAGCACCAGGGCCTTGCCACTAATCTGTGGGGGGCTGTGGGGGGCTGTGGGGTCCTCACCCAGCTCGTGGTCCCCTGGGTTGTCCGAGATCTCCATGGCATAGATCTTAAGCCCACGTGAGCTCTTTCCCAGACTGTATGTGCGAGTGATAGTGGGGCATTCCTCGTTCACCACCTTCATCAGCTGGGTACAGTAGAGGACACCGATCACATGCTGCCCCCAGCTCAGAGGCAGCCCAAGTACAGGGACCCCAGGCGGTCTCAGGTACTAGTATAGGAGGGAGAGGCCGGGGCTTCCTCCTTCCTGGGGCCCACGTGTCTGGGATGGGAGCAGAGCTCATTGAGCGTGGGAAAGCTCTCGCCGGCCTGGCGCCGCGCCCAGGACAGGACCCCACCTGGCGCATGTCCCTGTAGCTGTGGTGCCGGAAGTCCAGGTCGTCAGTGGTGGTCACCTCGTTCTGTGTGTAGTAACTGTGGGCAGCTGTATGTGGGGGTGGGGGTCGGCAGGGTCCGGAGCTGGTCAGCTGCCGGCCTACCCTGCCGCCCCTCGAGCCCGGGTCAGCCCCCTGCACTCACGGGACACGGGGCACCCCAGCACCTCCAGACGCATGCACAGGCTGCCGTTCCAGGTGAGGGGGTAGACGCGGATGAAACGGGCCACCACTGGCTCTGGGAGCTCACTCAGCACGGGCGTGTCCTTGTCCACGTTCCCGTGGAAGGTCTGGGGAGAGGCCGGCCTCAGAGCAGCACCCCACCTGGGCCAGGCGGTGGGCGTGGTGCTGAGGGCTGCTACCCACCATCTCCTCATAGCCGTTGGTGTACATCGTCCACGTCTGGCTGTCATTGCTGAAGCCCACGAAGAAGGCGGTCACAAAGTCGTCACTGGGGAGTGGACGGCTGTCAGGGCAGGGCTGCTGTCCCACCCCAGGTCCCAGGCCCTCAGGCAGCCGAGCCCCGCTCCTGGGTCCAAGAACTTAAGAGCTAACAGGGTGCGTGGTGCTTGGCCTGGCAGCAGGAGTAGCTCACATGCCTGCTGTGTCGCCTGAACGGGTGGCCTGCTCATCTCCTCACTGCCGTGGCCAAGGAGTGGGCCGGGGCCCTGGAGGGCCCACAGCAGTGTCTCAAATGGGACTGAAAGCCGGGCCTGGAGCTCCCATCCCCACAGAGTGCCCGTGAGCCAACGTACTGGACACTGGAGTCCCGGCCCTGGGTGATGACACCCGTGAACCTGGTGGTTCTTCTGGTGTCCACCTCGATCCACTGGGTCTGACTGTCGTCCTCGGCGCACCATGCCCCATCGTAGTAGTCGTCCTCGGTGGCACCAGCCTGTGGGATGGTGGGGCTGAGCGGGCGGAGGAGTCCCCATGGAGCTGGGAGGCCGGCCCCTCCTGACACCCACCTGCATGTTAAGCCGGCCCCGCTGGGCTCCCAGGCCGTGACGCAGCATGGAGGACGCCCGGATCTGGTTGTCCTCGATGCGATGCGATTCCATCCCAATGGGGGGGCACTCTGGGGACACGGCACCCCAGGCTGCTGGCCCACTGGCTCCATCCCTCCCGCCACCCACCTGAGAACCGAAGGTCCTGGAGCCCAGTCCCCTCACATTGGGGTGCCAGTCAGGGCAGCCACACCCGGCCAGTGCTCCCCTCCCTGGGCCTCAGCTTCCCCATCTGGGTGGGGTCCAGGGGGCCACGGGCTCACATGAACTCACAGGGCAGCCACCCGGGGCCATCTGCACTCCTGCCTTGGGCCATGTGTTCTGTCCCCTGGGGTCAGGCCCAGGGCAGAGACACTCCAGGCCCCCTTCCTTCTGGGCCCCAACAACTTAAGAACAGGAAGCGGCTCTGGAGGCCAGCAGTGCCGTCAGTAAGTCCAGATTTGGGACCCACGTGTGGCCGTGCGTGGGTCACTTGCCCCAGCCCCCACACTCCCCGACCCCTTACTCACTGACTTTCTCTGCTGGAGCCCACTCCTCCTCCACCTCCTCACCCTTCCGGGGCCCTGTGGGCAACAAAGGGAGCAGTGGTGAGAGGGCCCTGCCGCACCCAGCAGTCCAGCGGCAGCACAGCGACCCGGGCTGTGTGGCCCCAGCTCCAGCCCCACACCTCTGTGGTCCTTGTCCTTCTCCAATGTCCATTTGTCATCCGTCTCCTTCTCCTTAGGGCCACTGGCCTCCTTTTTGGGCTTCTCTGCAGGGTGGAAGGTGGGAGGGGCCTGTCAGCTTAGCCCAGGGCTTCAAGGGGCGTGTGGGGGTCAGGCTGAGCTGGGGTACGGCTTGGTTCCACTCACTCAGCTCCTCCTTCTCTCTGTCAGTCTCCAGCTCGGTGTCGGGCTTCTGGGGGTCTGGAGGCCGGAAGTAATAGTCCACTGGGGGAGGGAGACCCATGCTGAGGTGGTCCCCATGCTGCTCCCAGGGCCCCACAGGCAGGAGGGGTCACTGGACAAGCAGGTGGGGTCAGGTGGGCCTCGAAGAACACAAACATGCCCAGAGGAGAGGGTGGGTCCTCCCAGAGAGGGAGGCCGCCTGGAAGACCCTAGGGAAGTCAGCAGTGGCCCCGCTGCTTGGCCTGGGGAAAGCTGGTGTGGCTGGGCAGGGAGTGGAACATGGCAAGGACACGCCTCGAGTGACAACTGTCACCAGTGTCCTGGGGTGGAGTGTCTTGCGGGCTGAGCCGGGGCCAAGGGCTGGAGAGGCTGACAGGGCAGGGAAAGGCAGCCCTGGAAGGGGAGGAGGGAGAGGAGTGCATCAGCCTGGAAGGCATGGGCGTCCCAGCAGGCCGGGGGGTGGCCGGCCGGGCACAGGAAGCGAAGGAGCCCACTGGGGCTCAGAAAGAAAAGGCCGGAAGCGAGGGCGAAGTCAGGAGCCAGGAAGGGGTCAAGGGATGGCCCCACCTGAGTGTGGACAGCAGCTGAGAAGGGCAAGGCTGGAGGCACGTGGGGCGGCGGGGCCACTGCCACCACGCTGGAGTCACAAGGGGGTCAGGCCCGGCCTTGGGCCCCAGGAGGTGGGCACTCACTGTTGTCGTAGTCGGGGATCACGTAGCCATCCCCGTAGTCGGGGGGCAGCGGGGGTGGCAGGGGCTTCAAAGGCAACTCTGTGGAGGGGGGAGGCAGGGGTGGGCCCAGAGCCTCCACAGCTGGCATCCCGCGTCCCCCTCTGCCCCCATCCTACCGGTCCTCTCCTTCTCCTCTGGAGTGTCGGGCCTCCGCCCAGGGGGCTCGGCCTTCTCCTCAGGGTGCTCGGGCCAGGGCCTCTCAGGCCTCCTCCTGCTGGGGGGCGGTCTGGGCTGCTTCTGGCGCCGGATGTACTCAACTGAGGAGGAGGGCGGGCTCTGAGCCGGGCCAAGGCCCCTCCTCAGAAGGCAGAGGGGAGCCTCCGGGTGGACCAGCAGTGGACCCCCAGGCCTGGAGTCTGGACCCAGACGGGGAGGCGGGGTCCTACTCACAGTCCTCGTAGTCCTCCCTCTCGATCTGGTCGTTGTAGTCCAGCGTGGGCTGCTCGCTCCCGTCCTCCGGCTCTGGGAGAAGACACCTGTGGCTGCCTCGTGGAAGACACTTACCGACTCCCCCACCCAGGCCCACCCCGGAAACCCAGCAAGACGGTGGTGGCCGGCCCCCCTGGCCAGGTGGATGGCACCCACTCACCAGGTTGGCGCTCCACGTGGGTCTCTCCTCCTGGACCCTGCCAGGCACTTGGGAGGGCACCATCTGCTAAACAAATCCCAACACAGATAGATGGGAGGCCTGCCCTGCCCACTGGCCACTCATGGAACCTCCGCCGCACCTGGGCCCAGCTGATACCCCTTGAAGCCTCAATCGCTCCCAGGAGGCCTGGGCTGCTGTGCCCTCAGCACCTGGGGACTAGAGAGCTGGACAACTATCTAGGGAGCCCAGGCCCTGCTGTCTGGGAGGGCACCTGCACGCTTGGAGCCCAGCAACACATGAGGGGTGGCTCTGTGTGGGGTCCAGGGGACAGATCCCAGGGCAGTGGAGAGCAAACCCTCCAGCAAGGCCACCAAGCATCCCCCACCCAGCGGACCTGAGGGAGTGCCAGCCCAACTGCCGTGTTCATGACAATATGGGGACCCTGAGGGTCTGCAGGAAATGGGCCCAGGAACCCACCCTCACCCCTCCTTCCCCGCAGCCCAGCAGGTCAGAGCCCCAACACCTAGAAGAGCTGCACACACCTCCCTCCTGCAGCAGCTTCCCAGGGCTGGGGCTGAGGGGTGGGGGCAGTGGCCACCACGGGGCTTCTGAGGGGGTCTGGGTGGGGGGCCTCTTCCCAGCCAGGGGCCTCTTGGTGGCCTTGGGTGGCTTCTCTTTGGGCCTCTTGGTGGCCTTGGGTGGCTTCTCTTTGGGCCTCTTGGTGGCCTTGGGTGGCTTCTCCTTGGGCCTCTTGGTGGCCTTGGGTGGCTTCTCCTTGGGCTTCTTGGGTGGCCTGGGGGATGCCTCCAGCGGCTGCTTGTCCTTCTTGGGGCTTTTGTCCTTCTTGCCTTTCTTCCCTTTGTCTTTGGCCTTTTCCCGGAGCACTGTCCGAGATGCAGATTTAGGTCAGGTCAGATCAACAGGGAGCCCACTCTGTGCCTCATGTCCGCCCACGCCCCCCTCCCCCCAAGGGCCCACAGCCTGGAACCCAGGCTTTCTGTCCGCACGTCTATGCTGTCACCACATCTTGGCCTGGGTGGCTCAGCTCCCACAGAACAGGCTCTTGTCTTCCCACCTGCTAAAACCTCAACAGGGGCCCCTCACAATACCCCCTTCCCCTGACGTCCACTGGGCCAGTCAGGGAGTACCAATCTGTGCTGGACACGGAAGGAGCAGAGGTGACTAAGCCATGGGGGGGGGCACCCAAGTCTCAAGTGGGAGGCAGGTCATTCCTGCCAAGTGCCACACAAAGTAAAGGGCACAGCGGGTGGGAGGGCACAGCGGGTGGGGGGGCACAGCCATGCCTCCCTGACGCGCCCTGCAAGGGGAAAGAAAAGCTTCCAAGGAAAGGGCTCTGGTGGGCCCGCCCGAGAAGTCAGCACCAGCAGAGGCCCTGGGGCCACGGAGGACAGGGCCACAGGGTGGGCAGCAGCCGCTCACCCATCTCAGAGTCTGGGGGAGGAGCCAGGGGCAGGTCACTGAGCAAGTGATGTGGAGAATTTAAAGGCGGGTAGGGGCCGCAAGGCGGAAACAGGAAAATTGACAAAATGCAGACGGCCAGGGGAAAGGGCTGCCCCAGCAGCATCCAAGAGCCCAGAGCAGCAAGCCTGGAATGCGAGCTAGCGGTGGGGGCGGCCCACTGGGTCCCGGGACCCGCCCCCAGGGTGAGGGCGGAGCCAGGAAAGATCTAGAGTGGGAGCAGCGACTGCTGACCTCAGGAATGGGGGATGGAGGGTTGGAGTCCCCGGGACAGAGATCAACAAGACCCTTGCCACCCCTGAAGGCGTAATAAGCAGCTAAGATTTATGGACAACTCATTATGTAAGAGGCGGGACGAAATGCTTTCGAGATGCATCAGCCCGCTGAGCTCTCACATGAGCGGGGACTGCCCACTGCCCCCCAGCTCCTGGAAGCCTCGAGGGAGGGGTCTTCTGCCTCAGTGCCCTGGGAGTTAGGTGGCCAGGCAGGGCGGCCCCCTAGGAGGGTGCTGGGGACCCTTCCAGGGAAGGCCTGCGGCTGGGAGTCTGGCAGTGACTTGAGCACGGGCAGTGTGTGTCACAGTCTGAGTGGCCCCGTTAGGACCGCGGGGCTGTTCGCAGGGGAGGAAGCCACGAAGTCCCCGTTGGCTGAGGCCTCAGCTCCCCGTGGGGCTGGGGCTGGGGTGAGGCCCCGGACTGGAGCCAGCGGGCAGCAGACCTGCTGGATGTGCCTCCACGGCCGAAGGGCTACAAGCCCGCACTGCCCGCGCCTGGCACAGTGTCCGCCAGACATCTGGGCTGCCCTGCGCCTTCACAGGACCGTTCCTCCAGCCAGGCAGCCTGGACGCTGCCAAGCCGTGGCGGGGCCCGCCGCTCTCACCTTGGCACACGGCGCCCCGAGGCCCCTGGCAACCTGGCCACCCCTTCCCGCGCTCTTACCCTCTCCGGCCACCCCCGGGCGTGCCCCCGGCTTGCCCCCGGCCTGGGCTTTGCGGACGCGCAGGGTGGGCTCAGGGGGCGGCAGGGCCTCCACGTCGTCCTCCCGGGGCTCCGGCTCCAGCTCCGACAGGAAGCCCTCGAGGAACTCCTCGATCTCGTCGTCCGTCAGCACCGTCTGCGGGCGCCCCCCGGGGCACAGCGCCAGCAGCGCCAGGAGGCAGCCAAGCAGGGGCACCCCGCGCACTGCCGCCATGGCCGCCGCGCGCGTGGGGGGCGGGGGCCTGGGGTGGGGCTCAGGGGTCGGCGGGGACGCAGGGCTGCTCAGGGGTTCCGAGGAGCTGGCGGCGGCTCCGAGCTCCGGCCCCGCGTGGCGCGCTCTAGTGCGGACCGCCCTCTCCAAAGCTCCGGCAGCGGCCGGGGCGGGGGCGTCGGGGCTTCCGGAGCCGGCTCCCCAGCCCCCGGGGGAGGAGGAGGAGTCGGGCATGGATGGAGGGGCTGCGGGGGGGCCGCGCAGTCCTGGGCGCCGCGCTTGGCCCTTCCCGAAGCGGTGGTTGGGGGCGATGTTGCTGGCTGGAGGGCCTCGGGGGAGAGCGGGTCCGAGCGGATAGGAGGTCGTCACGGTGCGGGTGTTAGGGGGCTGACGCCCCTGCCCAGCTCTGCATGCAACACCGCCCTCACTCAAGCCCGCCGGGACCAGGAGGCGAGACGCCACGGAGCCCGCTGGAGATGAAGGGGAACCCTGGTAGCAGAGCCAAGCCGGCGACTCTGGCCTCAGGGACCCTCCCCATCTCTGCCTCCACAGGGGTCGTGAGGGCACCTGGCCAAGCCAGCGTTCCCTCTCTCCGGAGCCTTGTGCGGGCTGCTCTGCACTGTGCCCAGCAGTCATTCAGACCTCCAGCTAACCGCTGAGGTCATGATCAGCCCACCTGTGCTGCCTCCCAGGGGAGGCATCGCACTTCCACAGCCCACTCTCTAGTGGAGGCAAATGCAAACTGCCTCAGAGCAGGCCTACTGCTCTTCTGGGGGTCGGAGCCTCCAGGTAAGGTCGCG